TCATTGTGTGACATCCAATGGTATTTGATATTTGATTTCAGCTTCTTTAAAAAATGAAATCACAGTCAGATCTGATGTGAGCAAAGGCATTTAGTATTTGACAGCTCCCATGCAGAAGCTGGCAATCTCTGATGGTGCCTGAGATCTTCCATGCAACAGCAGGTAGTAAAACATCTGCTTTTGAAATAAGATTGTTCATTTAATTTAACCAATTACGGTAATTAGGAAACAAGCCCCTGAAAAAGATAGTACTCTCTACCATATGCGGTGATCTTGTAAGAGAGTAAAAGCTTTATGGGAAATGATTTATAACGAATTGAAGAAAATGTTTAAGATAACTTTTAACAAAAAAACAGAAGCTTTTCTTTTAGGCATAGTAGATAGTGAGATACCAAAAGACCCCCCCCCAATTGTTTATGTATGCCACGACTGCAGCTAGAATGGTTTTTGCCCAGAGATGGAAAGAAGCTGTAGTACCAACCCTGGAAAAGTTGCTAATTAAATTAATGGATTATTTTGAACTGTCAAGGTTAACGGGTGTAATAAGAAACCAAGAAGAAGAATAAATTATTAAAGATTGGGGGAAATTTGTGGAAAATTTGTAAAACTTATGTATGCAAATAGCTCATTAGTAGGATTAATGTAAAACAAGTGGTTAAGCATATTATTATGGGAAACTAAAGAATAACTTTAGATGGAGTAATGTAGAAAATCCAGCATGAAAATTAAAATCAAAAGGAAACCACAAAAGGGAGGAAGTCAAATATATGTGCATTAGAAATGTATGTAATTTGTGTTTTTGCAATTTTGCATGAAATTTATATACTGGTATATATAAAAGGAAACAAAGAAAGCAGGCTCCACCAGGGTCATTGACAACATCACAACTGCCAGGCTAAGCACGTTCACACTGGACAGGGTTGTCGTAGTCCCCACCAAGTGGCCACAAATCTGGGTGTGCTCCCTTCCCACCACCCCCTCAGTTGTGTGACTCTGGACTAGCACTGCTTTCCTGTCCCTTCACATGGGGGAGGAAGGGCTCACGCACTTCGGACGAACACCTGAAGACGTGCGCTACTGCACTCGAAGACACCTCTCGGGTCATCCAGGATGTCACCCAAAGACAGGCTAGAGTTTCCGTGGTTTAATGCATTCCCATCTTTCCTCCAGCTTATTGGGAGGTTTTTATCCTCCGCTTCGCAGTAGAGGACAATGTCATTCTTTTGCTGCTTCACTGTGATGGATCCCTCAGCAATACCTATGAGGAAGGAATGACAAGGTGGAGGAAAACACCCGCAGCAGAGCCCTTGGGTCCATCTAGCACTCAGAGGGACCCAAGATCAGCCACAGCTGGGATGCATGAAGGAAGACCACAACCGTAAGCTAAAGGCCCTTTCACAGGAACGCCCATAAGTGATGAAAAACATAGACCATATTGCTTGTGCTGGAAGAGGAGGAAGCTACTAGGCTGACCCCCTCCTGCCTTGCAGGAATATATAGTTGTCCCATATGGGGATCGAACCTGCAACCTTGGCATTATCAGCACCATGCTCTAACCAACTGAGCTATGGAGAAAGGTAAGTCATTCCACTATCCAATAAAAGAGGGAGGGAATTAAGTTGTGCCAATAGTCAGCCACAACATCACACTACTCCACCCACTTCTGAAACAGAAACAGAAATGTTTTGTGGGAAGGGGCTTATTGGTGTCAAGGAGTGGTAGCGATGCCCACATCTGGACACAGACGTCAGGACAATGTCTGCAGCCCAAACACAAACACCTGCATCTTCACACTGCAAAACAATGGAAGCAATCACTGGGTGTTCAGCAGCAGTGGCAGAATGAAAAGGACAAATACCACACTAAGGGACAGCTAGGAAAGGGACTGACAATAAAATGGACACAGCATTGTGTAAATCTACAGTATGGCTGCATTTGAACTACTGGCTGCCACATCTCGATAAGGACACCAAAGAGCTAAAGAAAAAAAGTGGGGGCAGCCAAAATGATTAAGAGGCTAGAACACCCTGTGTCACAAGGAAAAGCTAATGTGTTTGTGGTGTCTTAGTTTTAAAAAAATGATGATGGGGAGAAGGGGCATGATTGAGGTTTATGAAATTATGCACATTGGACAGAGGAAAGTCTGCTTCTGCTCCTCTCTCTCTCTCATACAAACACACATAGACACTCACACATACTCTCTCTCTCTCTCTCTCTCTCTCTCTCTCTCACACACACACACACACACACACACACTACTACAACAACCCAGAGTCGTACAATGAAGTGGAAGAGTGGGACATTCATCAGAGAGGGAGAGGGAGAGAGACGCAGATGAATATTTCTTGTGGAATTCTCTGGTAAGATGGGACAGCTATTATTAACGTAGATTGGCGATTGTTCCTGATGGCCAAATGGAACCTGTCTCCTGTGGTTGGTGGTTCTGCTTTATCCTCTGAACAAGGCACTGACATTTCATAGGGTCCAACAATAAGAGTCCAGCCAGTAAGACCTGATGCCTTTCAGGGTGGGACACAGAAGGTAAATGTGGCGAGCATCTTCTTTTCAAGCATTTGATACATACAGGTTTTGGGAAGCGTTTTAGAGCACAGTTACAGGCAAAAATAATATGGGAAAGGATCTGTCAATGAACATTTTAAGGTGAATTGGTTAGTTGCCTCTCTTTGTCTTCCCACTCAAGGACCCAACTTCTTCACTTTTCTGTCTTTGTTCCCCCACCTCCACAAATGTCAGATCCTTTCCTGAGGCTGGACTCAAGGGCCTTTAAGTGAGGTCCTACCTTTGGAGAAGAGCAATCCAAAGAGGAAGGTTGCACACAAGAGATGCTGGCTGCGTCCCATCACCCTTCTTCAGAGTGTGTGTTGATAACCCGCTTATTCTTTCCCTTGAAATTAAATTGCTCACTTTGCAAAAAGACACCCACAAAGAAGTGCCCTTTGCTCAGTGCTGTGCTGAGCTGGATATGAAAGTAGAAGAAAACATCTCTGTCGTCAGCCAAGAACAGGAAACCTGTGGGTGGGAGGCCTCTCTGTCCCCACTGTGCATGGAAATGAACGAGTGAATAGATGTTAAGAAAGAGTACAATTTCCGAAAAGAATCACTGGGGCGGGGGGGGGGGTGTTTGAGTCCTGCTTGAGAGTTTCTCACAGGCAGGTAGGATTGTATGTGAATAGGATGCTGGACTTGAAAGGCCATTGATCTAATCCAGCAGCCCCTTCTCATGTTCTTAAATGGAAGGAAATAGCCTGCAGAACATGGAAATTTAACTGATTCCTCACCACACACTATTTACCCCCCACTACCAGATCTGCCAACTTCATGAACTGTTGTCTAGAGAAATGGTGTACTCGCTGGGGGTGGCATGCAGCCATCACACCATCAGAGGGTGGGTATTTTGGTGGGGCCAATGGTGAGGTGAATCCTGGAAACCCGAAACAGCCGCAGGCAGAAAATGACAATTGTGGGCTGGGGCAGGGTGGGATATAACTTCCACTGTGGCATTACAAAGCACTGTCTAGTATATGAGAAAGATGGATTGCATCGCAGGGTTGTTGTATAACTCCCCCTCTCCTCTCCATTGGATAGGGTGGTTTTCTCCATGTCCTGTGTGTGGGCTTCCCAAGAAGGCATCTGGTTGATGACTGGAAAACAGGAGGCTGAATAAGATGGATCCCCATTGGGTCTGGTCCAGCGACACAGCTCTACTTAAATTTGGCCACAGCTCTCATACTGCAATATGGAGATAATACTTGTGGATTTGATTTTCATTTCTGAAATATTTTAAAGAACCATTTAAAACTGCATTGATATTTTTCACAAGAATATCTGAGTATGAAACAGAATGAACTCGGCTGCAGTGCTAGAACAGATATACAGATATAGAAAGAGTGTGTATGAACTTCCACCACCACTTCTATACGTGTGGGCAGCGGGTAAGGATGGATATGCTGCTGTCCAAACAGAGCTACACAAAAGCAAAGCAAAACTGGATCTCTAGCCATTGTTACATATGAACAGCTGTCACTTTTACCTTGGTGGACAAAGTGGGAAAGCAAGGCTTCAAATACAGCCAGGAAGTCCCGCCTTCAGAAACGTGAACGGTCAGTCTGATCCTATTACAGAGCTACGATTTCAAAGTGTTTACAGTTTAAAGAACCTTCAGAGCAGACAGTTATTGAGCTTCTGTAGCATCGGTTGCAAGCAAAAAGCAACGAAGAGGCCCGTGGCTCCTCGTGTTCCAACAAATATCCTTATGCTATAATCTTTCGGGGGCAAGAGGCCACTTCCTCGGATGCATCACCCTCAGTTGCAATTGCAGGGATATGAAACACACATCATCATATATATATAAATTTTTATTAGTTTTTTTAACATATCATTTTCAACAGTTATTAAACATACTTTTACATCTTATTCAAATTTTTGACTTCCATCAATCCTGTCTGAAACACACATCATCATGGCTGTAAGCGGGGACGGGGGACGACTTATGTCCAGGGAAGCTGCGGGGCAGGATCTCCTGCCATTCTCAGGAGAGCTGTTGCGAGTCAGAGGGGGCGAGTTCACCCTCCCAGCTGTCCCTAGTCAGAGCAAACGGCCCTGCAAGCCTTTCACGAGATGTGATCCTTCGGCCGCAGCCCCCTCTCTACAACTTGCGGCATGAGGACGGCAGAATATATTTGTTTTGGAACTGGCGTTGGCTAATTTTGCAAATACTGGAACTTACGGGTGGCGGGTTGTGGGAGAAGCAAACGTTTCCTACGAGGCGACACCCGCGTCTTCTGCTACCTTCGGGGCGCAGTGCAAGGGATGGCTGCTGCCCAGGGAACAGCTGTATTAAAAAGCTTAGATTTTACACCTCTCAAAAAGGGAAATAGGAAGCGAGCTAGGAACACAACCACGTAGTCCTCTCTTACTTTTTCCTATCTCTGTGGCTCTAATTTCTCTCTCTCTCTCCCCGCCCCGCCCCCCATGCGTTCCCGCCTCCCCTTCTTCCATTGGTGGGGCCCGCTTCCGACCCTGTACGATGACGTGTTGCCGCGATCCAGTGGCGTCACGCGTTGTCAAGTTTACTGACTGGGAAGTGGTCTCGAAGCGGTCGCGGACCGGTAAGCAGGCGAAGAAGCGGCGGGTCCGGTTGCTCCGAGCCTTGGGCTGGAAGGGCCAGGCCAGGCCGGTGGGGTTGCCCTGGTTTGGGGGAGCCTTGGTGCGGGTTGCTCGGCCCAGCCGGGAGGCCCTCCGTGCGCGGGAGCCGCCGTCACCGTCGCCTCCTGGCCCGGCGCTTCTGCCGCAGCTGCGGGTCAGCGGCGTCGGGCCTTCCTAGGCTCCCTCTTCGGGCCCTGGAAAGAGGGCTTCCGAGGCGGCCTCTGAGGCCCTTCTCTCGCTTTGGTCCCTAGCCCTGGATGGAGTTCGCCTGGCGGGGAAATGACCGACCAGGAGAACAACAACAGTATCTCCAGTAACCCCTTCGCCGCGCTCTTCGGCTCCGTCGCCGACGCCAAGCACTTCGCCGAGGTCCAGAAGCAGCACCAACTGACGCCGCCCGTTGGTGAGAGGGGGAGAGGTGGCCTCGCTTTGGGGGGGGGGGGTTGACGCCCCTGGCCTAGGAAACATTGGGTCAGATCGAAGGTTGAATCCCGCGTGGAGGTATTGCTGAAAGCACTTGGGTGATCTTATCTGTACCCCCTCCCCTCCCTGTCCTTATTTTAAACGACAGACCATTTTACCGCCCCAAAAGCTGGGCATCAGTAACCATAGATTGCAAAAACTAATATGGATTTTAAGGAATTGGTGCAAAGAAGAATTGGATTAAAATGGATAAAAACTAGTAGGTGCTGAAATCCTCAGTTTTTCACTGGCTTACCTGCAGGCTTCCAAATGGAAGGGAAGGGTTTTTCCTCTGCTTCAGGTTGTGCAAATCTTTGGAAGAGCAGAGAGAGTTCATTGTGACGAGATAGTCACTGAGGCAGCCTTTCTGTGTCTTGACTGGCCCGGTTAGGCAAACAAATTGTGTTTGGGTGATAAGGTTCAAGTGGTGCCCATGTGGGGCTGGCAACCAGTCTCCACGCATTTTCTAGAGGCGACAACAACATGTTTGTGATTTGTGGTAAGCTGACTTTGTGGCTGGTAGCTATATTTGCCTGATGCCTGACATGTTATCAAGAAGCCAAATCTGAGGCAAAGGCCATGCTGGTCCCTCCTTCTTCTTGACGCAGAGCCCTCCAGGGCAAAAGGCCAGGGTGCATGGTTGGTGCCTGGTGGGGCCAAGTTAGGCTGCTTCTTAACTAGTTCTACTTCTCCAGTGGAGGAAACCTCGGCCAGCCAAGATGATTCTGACAACAGCGTGTCTGAAAGCCTGGATGATTGTGACTACTCTGTGGCTGAGATCAGCCGCTCATTCCGTTCCCAGCAGGAGCTCTGTGAGCAGCTCAACATCAACCACATGATCCAGAGAATCTTCCTGATCACGCTTGACAACAGTGAGTATGGGGAGTTAGTTCCTGGGATCCAGACTAGGAGGAACTCTCAGTTATACTGGGATTTTTGCAGCTTCCTGAGAGTAGGGCTGTAGTATTCTATGGTGGCTGTAGACTCAACACAGATAATCTTCCACTTGTAGTTCCTTTTGCTGTACTATGTGCTGCAGAATCTCCTAAAGAACTTGGCTGTGTGTGGTTTCTCTTACACTATGCTTGTCACTGTATAAATGCTTTCCTGACACATCACGTGTGGTGGCAGGGAGTAGTGTTTCCTGTAATAGTGCTGCTCTATTCTGCTGCACGAATACATCATGCGAAAGGCTGGGCTGGATGAATCCCAAGCTGGAATTAAGATTGCCGGAAGAAATATCAACAACCTCAGATATGCAGATGACACAACCTTGATGGCAGAAAGTGAGAAGGAATTAAAGAACCTTTTAATGAGGGTGAAAGAGGAGAGCGCAAAATATGGTCTGAAGCTCAACATCAAAAAAACGAAGATCATGGCCACTGGTCCCATCACCTCCTGGCAAATAGAAGGGGAAGAAATGGAGGCAGTGAGAGATTTTACTTTCTTGGGCTCCATGATCACTGCAGATGGTGACAGCAGCCACAAAATTAAAAGACGCCTGCTTCTTGGGAGAAGGGCAATGACAGGCCTAGATAGCATCTTGAGAAGTAGAGACGTCACCTTGCCAACAAAGGTCCGTATAGTTAAAGCCATGGTTTTCCCAGTAGTGATGTATGGAAGTGAGAGCTGGACCATAAAGAAGGCTGATCACCGAAGAATTGATGCTTTTGAATTATGGTGCTGGCGAAGACTCTTGAGAGTCCCATGGACTGCAAGAAGATCAAACGCATCCATTCTTAAGGAAATCAGCCCTGAGTGCTCACTGGAAGGACAGATCGTGAAGCTGAGGCTCCAGTACTTTGGCCACCTCATAAGAAGAGAAGACTCCCTGGAGAAGACACTGATGCTGGGAAAGATGGAGGGCACAAGGAGAAGGGGGCGACAGAGGATGAGATGGTTGGATAGTGTTTTCGAGGTTACCAGCATGAGTTTCACCAAACTGCGGGAGGTAGTGGAGGACAGAGGTGCCTGGCGTGCTCTAGTCCATGGGGTCACGAAGAGTCGGAAACGACTAAACAACAACAACAACAACATTCTGCTGCACAATTATTTGTATGGGGCAAGAAAACCCCTCAAGCTTGGATCCCTATGTGCATCAGTTGCCTTAAAAGTCTCTCAAGAGTTCCAAAATGCTGGAATGGCTGTGTCCCTTCAGGCATGTGCTGTGCCACTGGCACTCAATAAAACAAAGCTTAAATCTCTCCCTTCCTCTTCCCCAGTGAACTGATAAAAATAAATTCTGCCTTTAGGAAAAATGAAGTTAACGTCTTTCAAACTAGGGAGGGGGGTTATTGGATTGTTGTTTTTATTTTGATTATATATTTTGTGGTTTTATATGTTGATTTTGTTCTATGAACCGCCATGAGACTTCTGGGTACAGGATGGTATATAAATTAAATAAATAAATAGAAAGGTGGGGTGGGAGGATGATGTATGGGTTGGGGCTTGGGCTTGTAGGGACACAGATTCATGCTTGTGGTGTTACTGATGTTGCTGGTTTGATGATTCCCAACCTGCAGGTGACCCCAATCTCAAAAGTGGCAATGGGATTCCTGCACGCTGTGTGTACTTGGAGGAAATGGCAACAGACTTGGAGGATCAGGATTGGCTTGACATGGAGAATGTGGAGCAGGTATCTGTGCACATGCAAATGCAGTTGATTTTTCTGCCTGGCTGAGGGCTTGGCAGAGCATCCATAAGCCTTGGTGAAGGATGCAGGCTTTGCCCTTCAGGACACACTGTTCTCTGTGCTGATGTTCTTGAAGGACCCTTCAGCTGGATCAGTCTTGTGAATGGAAGACATTTGCCTTCTCTCCATTTGTAGTGCTCACTTTCTAGAGCAGGGCTGGGTAACCTATGGACCTCCAAATATTGTTGAATTTTAACTTGAATAATCCTCAACCACTAGCCATACTGGTTTGGGGCTGATGGGAGTTATAGTCCAACAACATCTGGAGGGGCACAAGTTAGCCACCCCTGTTCTAGAGCCACCAACGTTGCATTTTGGACTTTTTGTTTAATCAAGCAGACTTGTCTGACGTGGGTGCCTGAATCCTATCACCCATTTGCTTGCAGCTCATGATAATGTGGGTGAAGGATCTGGCCTTAGCCACAGGAGTTGTCTTGGATGACCTTCGGGTCTTACTGTGTGTTTTTGATACATAGCTGGGCACTTGCTCTATGTGGCTGGTGGGTGGGCAGGGTTGTGTACTGACCATTTATGTCCGGCTTGGCATGTCTCTCCAGGCTCTCTTTACCCGGCTACTCCTCCCTGAACCAGGGAATCACCTGATTCACATGACCTCGGCTGGCATACAGAATCTATCAGCTGACAGAGATGCAGGGGAGAAGCACATATTTCGCTACCTCTTTGCCAGCTTCCAGAGGGCAAAGGAGGAGGTGGGTCAACGCCCCACATCCCTGTCAGCAAGTCTGACTGCCTGAGCGGAGCAGCCCAGCAGACCAGAGACAAAGTTCTCTCCTCTGTTCTCCTAGATTACCAAAGTGCCAGAGAACCTGTTGCCCTTTGCCATGCGCTGCCGAAACCTTTCTGTGTCCAACACTCGCACGGTCCTCCTCACCCCGGAGATCTATATCAACCAAAATGTCTACGAGCAGCTAGTGGACTTGATGCTGGAGTCCCTTACAGGAGCCCGTAAGTTACAGAGGCAGAGCTGGGCACCCTAGAAGAAGTTAATGGGCTACAACTGCAGGAGGTCCCTCAAAGATACCTTTGATACCCCACCTTTTTATTATAGTTGTAAATGTGTTGGGGTGCCTGTATCTTTCTATGAGAATGCATAAAGGATTGGTGTTCACTTCTCTCCTACTCTCTTACTGTAGGCTTTGAAGATGTCACTGAGTTCCTGGAGGAAGTCATAGAAGGCCTCACTATGGATGAGGAAGTGAAGACCTTTGAGGAAGTAATGGTGCCTGTCTTTGATATCCTCTTGGGACGGATCCGAGAGCTGCACCTTTGCCAGATCCTGCTATACTCCTACCTGGACATGCTCCTCTACTTCACTAGGCAGAAAGATATAGCGAAAGTGAGCATTTGGCTAGTCTATCTTCAGGGTACCAGGGAGCAGCAAAGCAATCAGCCATGGCCATCTTCAGCCTACCTCCTGGGCAGAGGGGTAGTTGCTTGTTCTCTTCACTGTGAAGAGAGCATGGCCTTCCTGATTCTGTGCTGTGGTTACAACATGCATCAGTGATAGGCTGGCCAATATGGCAGAACCATCATTCCATAAAAGGGTGTCCTTCATTCCACTACTTATATCGGGGCTTTACCTGTAGTGGCTGACCAGCAGTACCTTCTGTTTCTGTTTGTTCAGGTTTTTGTAGAGTACATCCAGCCAAAGGACCCAGCCAATGGGCAGCTCTACCAGAAGACTTTGCTGGGAGTTATCTTGAGCATCTCATGCTTGCTGAAGACCCCAGGTGTGGTAGAGAACCACGATTACTTCTTGAATCCCTCTCGGTCCAGCCCTCAGGAGATCAAGGTGCAGGAATCCAACATCCACCAGGTGGGTGGATGTGCACATTTCATACCAGTGTAGCTTAACCAGGCAGAGTAGAGGGGACAGCAGCAGAAAATGACAGCTTCTGTCTCTTAAATTTATCTCTCTAGTGTGGTTTGGTGGGTTCTTGGTTGTTCCTTAAGTCACAGATTGTCAACATCAAAGTATAATGAAAACCTCCGCAGGAAATTCATGATGCTTGGGGTATTTGAGAAGACCAAGACCCATTAACTGCTGAAAGTTAAGGAATTTAGGGGAGAGGAGGCGTAGCTCAGTGGGTAGAGCACAGATACTGCATGTGGAAGATCCCAGTTTAAGTTGACTGAGCAAGTGTGTGTGTGTTGTACACATCTTAAGACTTCTGATGTTTTGGTAACAGTTCATGGCTCAGTTCCATGAGAAGATCTACCAGATGCTCAAGAACCTGCTGCAGCTATCACCACAAACAAAGCACCGAATCCTGTCCTGGCTGGGAAACTGTCTCCATGCTAATGCAGGCCGCACGAAGATATGGGCCAACCAGATGCCAGAGATTTTCTTCCAGATGTATGCCTCGGATGCCTTCTTCCTCAACTTGGGGGCCGCCCTCCTCAGGCTATGCCAGCCCTTTTGTAAGCCCAGATCGCCCCGGCTCCTCACATTCGACCCCACCTACTGTGCGCTGAAAGAGCTGAATGAGGAAGAGCAGCGGAGCAAGAATGTGCATATGAAAGGTGAGCCATGACTTTGCAGGTGCCCAAATCTTGTCCTCGTACTCTTGGCAAGGCAGCCTGTAAGGGAGGAGGCTGCTGGCCAAGGGCAGAGGAAGAGCTGGAGGAAACCAGAGTGCTCCCATTGGCTCTGGCATCCTCCTGGTAGGTGTTGCTTGGTGGGGAAGCAATTCCTGTTAACTTCCTTCAAGGTTTGGAGAAAGAAACCTGCTTGATCCCAGCCACAACTGAGCAGGAGCCAGAGTTTGCCCCCAGCTACAACCTCGTGACGGAGAACTTGGTGTTGACCCAGTATACCCTCCATTTAGGATTTCACAGGTACTGCCTCCAGAGGGTATATGGGTGTGTGGGAACGGCAAGGCCTTGCAAGTGCCTCTTCCTTAGAGACTGAAAATTTGCCTACAGCAGGATTGGGCTGTAAAAGCCTGGTTGGCAGCCTTCGCAAGCTGAGGTGACCTGAGATATCCTACTGACAGGCAAAGCCTGTAACGAGAACAGTGATGTGAGAGCGCCCCAACCAAATTTGTTTAAGCAGACATTGGTTTGGGGAAAGGGGATTTTACTGCTATAATGAAGAAGCTAAACCAGTAAAGCCAATGCACATGATTTCCAGCTGTCCCCTTGAAGCACCCCTCCATGATGTGGAAACCCCCTCAAATCAAAGCAGCTATCAAACAAAGGATTGCAAAAAGCCTCTGGATGCAGTAGTTTGTTCCAGTTTGCTGCTTGTGTGATCCAGAAGAGAGAATTGGTTCTGTTCCTGGGAAACCTGAGTTTGTTGCATCTCTAGTTCAGTGGGGGAGCCTTGGACATCTCCCCCTCATACTTACAGAGGATATCGTGTACACCCCACTTTGCTTCTGTCCTTCTGGTTAATGTATGTATTTCTGTTGCTTGTACAGGTTGCATGACCAGATGATCAAACTAAACCAAAGCCTTCACCGGCTGCAGGTGGCCTGGCGAGAGGCTCAGCAGAGCTCCAGCCCTTCAGCAGACAACCTTCGGGAGCAGTTTGAGCGTCTCATGACCATCTATCTCTCCACCAAAACAGCTATGACAGAGCCGCAGATGTTGCAGAACTGTCTTCACCTGCAGGTCTCCATGGCTATTCTCCTGGTCCAGCTGGCCATTGGAAACCAAGGGACCGAGCTGGTAGACCTGACATTCCCTCTGTCTGAGGTGGAGAAGAACGCTCTGGCCTATGTCCCAGGTGACCAGCAAGGGGTTTCCCCTTCGGAAATGTTGGGCTTATCTCTTTGGCCTATATTGGCATCACAAGATTTTGAACACCTCTTTTCCTCCAGCAGTTTCCTGAAAGTTAAGAGCACCCTTGCTGTTCTAGTCTGACTGATGGGCATCTAGAGAATTATAAAATATACCCTTGTGTAGTTCTCATCAGGGTTTAGTTGACCTAGAAAAGTTCTGGGATGGAGCGAAATAGTTTACAAGCAGTGGCCTTTAGTTCTGCTCTCTCTGGAGTGGGCCTAGCTGGCTTTTTGCAGCATCCCTGGGTAGGTAGGTGGCAGTGGTAACCATAGTCTAGGATTCTTAAGTCTGGTAACCCAAAAACATCCACGCCCATCACTGAAATAATTGGGGCAAAACATTGCATTGGCTGTGCTTGTGTGCAGTCTATATTTCCAGTCTAGAGATGGAAGGTTGAGGCTTCTGGAGTTGTGAATGGAAGAGATGCTGATGTATGAGGGCCTGAGAATTATGCTGGCAGCAGAAACACCAGACATGGAAGCCCCCATGAGCAGGCACTGAAGGCCCAGGTGGTTTTAGGCTTGTCTTTGCAATTGAGGACAAATGTATATTTTCCAAAAAAACAAACCAGCTGTGCTTCCCAGGACACCACACAAAATACCTGAATTGGACATCACTTGCTGTACAGATTCCACATTGCTCTAAAAGATTCCCCTGCTACATCTTAGGGACCTTCTCCCTTGGTGCCAGAAAGATGTACAATCCAGAAGAGGAGTCTGTCTTGCTGGCAATGATGGTGTATGCTACCTAAAAAGCTAAACTTAGAGAGACGGTGAAATGGATGGGGACACACAAACACATTTGTCTCTATCCTTGGATGTGAAATAGCTGCAAGTGTGCATCCATTTCCAACACCTTCCATGATGACAAGTAGGTTTCTCTTCCTGTGAGCTTTAGAAAAGGCCAGGTTGTAGTGTCTTGGAGTATGCTTAGTTTGACCCTGGAGAAGCTAAAAATGCTGTCCTGCTCTAGAGGAGTCTTTGTACTATTAAGTAAGTTCTTTATTTCTGGTCAAGGGCTGGGTCTGAACATTCTCCCAGCAAGCACCTCATTTGGAGCTTTTTATTTGCAGAATTTTTTGCTGACAACTTGGGTGACTTCTTCATATTCTTGCGCCGCTTTGCTGATGATCTTCTGGAAACGTCAGCTGACTCCCTGGAGCACATCCTTCATTTTGTGACTATCTTCACTGGGGATGTGGACAGGTAATGGCCTCTCCAGCCACTTGTCCACCTCATTACCCTTCATCCAGGCTTCAAGGGTGGTCACCAGTAAATATTTGGGAGTACCAAGGCAGGGAGAGAGGTTATGGCCAGAACAAACCAATCCCCTTTGAGCCAAGCAGTGATGCTACAGGTCCTACACCTTAGCATGGAAGACCAGGCCAGTGCAGAAAGCTTAAGCCATTCAGGCAGCTGGTAATGGTTTCCTGTTCTGCCTCCCTCTGTATTCTGGAACAGAGACTGTCAGCTTGAGCCCCTTTCTCCATCAAAGGAACAACAAGGGGCTTTGAAGTCCTGCCCTTACCTGTCAGGTGTGGGGTGTGGCTTTCTGAAAATGGCCTGGCAGGCCTAAAGATACCTACAGGTCCATGTTTGGTCAGTAGGTTGGAGCTTCCCCACCCTCGCTCTAACAACTATATTGACTGCTGCATTGTGAGATAGCTATTTATTTTTGTTTATTTGTTTATTCAGTTTATATCATGCACCTTCCTCCAAAGGAGCCCAGAGTGGCAAGCATGTCCGTACTCAAACAGCGCAACTGAAACTTCCAGGAACAGTTAAAAATGCCTAAAATTAATTACCTATACTCCGACTAATTTCAAGGTTACTGGGGACAAAACTTTCAGCCATGAAATGCTAGGGCAAACAGGAACGTTTTAATTTTTTCCCTAAAAGTTAATCGTGAGGAAGACTAATGAACCTCACAAGGGAGGGTATTCCACTAAAGGGTAACTGCCACTAAGAAGGTCTTGTTTTGGGTCACCGCCAGCAATGACACCACCAGCAGGGCTTTCCCTGCTGATTAAGGGTTAGCCTCTAAGGTCCTCGGTGTCCAAGCTTTTGGGGTTTTAGGAGATCAAATTCCACATTTCCACTTGAGCCAGGAAGAAATCAGGTAACACTTGGAGAAGTTGGGGCACTTGCCTCATGGTTCTGGCATCTTCCAAGTTCTGTCCCAGTGGTGTCTCTGAATTGCGGTCAACAGCAGACAAAGAGGAAGCCACTAAGAAGCAAAGCTTCCAGGATATGATGGCAGGGCTAACAGTCATCCTTGAATGTCCTCCCAGATGGTTGATCCTCATTTGCCCTCCTGCAGGATGAAGAACCCACACCTGCGAGCCAAGCTGGCTGAAGTGTTAGAGGCTGTAATGCCTCACATGGACCAGGTGCAGAATCCCCTTGTCTCCAGTGTCTTCCATCGCAAGAGGGTCTTCTGCTCCTACCGGCATGCTGCCTACCTTGCCGAGGCGCTCATCAAGGTCTTTGTGGACATTGAGTTCACTGGTAAGGGGGTGGTGGGAGAGAGGGACCTTGCTCTAGCAGTGCCACTTTCATCTTCTTCCTCCTCCTTGAGCTGCTGCCATTTCCATTCCTGCTTAACAGAGCCATCTTCCCAGTTGCATGCTTTGCATCTGTGATAGCAGCACTCAGGGGCAAGGGGGCTTTCCTTTTCTCCCAAGTCCTCTGAGCACCTTGTTCTGCACCAGACATGGGTGACGTCTCTCCCTGTACCATTCATGGCTCGGGGCACATTTCTGAGCTGTCCATGCTTTTTCTTGAGTGTAAACCATGAGAGAGGAGGGTGGAAAGTGCCAGCCCTTTGCTGTTCTCTCTAGCACACTGCCATGCCAAGATGCAGCTTTGAAGCAGGAGGACCTGCCATATTGTGAGCAAAACATCCCTTCCTTGGTCTTGTGGTGCCTCCAGATCTTGGCATTCATTTTGGCTTGGCCTGTTCTTTTCCTCCTGCCTAGGGGATCCCCATCAGTTCGAGCAGAAGTTCAACTATCGCAGGCCTATGTACCCCATCCTCAGGTATATGTGGGGCATTGATTCCTACCGGGAAAGCATCAAGGTAAGGCTTGGGAGGTGCATGAGTTGCTTCAGCCAGGACAGCAATCATCTCTGGGAGGGAAACATCTCTTTCTCCCCCTCCCTCTTCTTGCAGGCACTCGCCGACTATGCCTCAAAGAACCTAGAAGCAATGAATCCCCCTCTCTTTTTGCGCTTCCTAAACTTGCTCATGAATGATGCCATCTTCTTGTTGGATGAAGCCATTCAGGTAAAGCATTTTTATTTGTGTATTCACCACTTGCTCTACTGCTCTTTCTCAAACTTTCCTCTGCTGGTGTGAGCTGGAGAACTCTATTCTGCCATACCTGCCTGAGAGAACTGCATCTGGCCTGTGTTGAGTAAAGAGGCCCATTCCGGAAATTCAGTTAGGCTTATCTGTTGCTGTTGCCCCTCTCAGCTGCTGTCCACCTGCTTAATAGAAGATTGTGGAAAATGAGCTATGGTTATTCACCCTTCATACACCCTTTCTTCTCTCCCTTTCTCCCCCACCTCAAATTGCTCTGCAGTACCTGAGTAAGATCAAGATCCAGCAGATTGAGAAGGACCGGGGTGAGTGGGATGCCCTGTCTACAGAGCTGCGGCGTGAGAAGGAAGCCAGCCTGCAGATGTTTGGGCAGCTGGCTCGCTTCCACAACATCATGTCCAATGAGACCATTGGGACCCTGGCCTTCCTGACTTCAGGTAAAGACAGAACTCTCCAGCTAGGAGTGAGGAGGGGAGCTGGGCTGTTCAGGGGACCTCACAGAGACCTGGTTTACATTGCAGAGATCAAGTCCCTCTTTGTGCACCCCTTCCTGGCTGAGCGCATTATCTCCATGCTCAACTACTTCCTGCAGCACTTGGTGGGCCCCAAAATGGGGGCTTTAAAGGTCAAAGACTTCAGCGAGTTTGACTTCAAACCCCAACAGCTGGTTTCTGACATCTGCACCATCTACTTAAATCTGGGGTACGTGTATTGAGAAGGAGAAGGCAACTTGGTGGTGGTGACAGCAGCCCTCTGAGTATCAGGGGAAATCAGTGAATGCTTTCCCCCAACATTCCCTTTTTTGGAGCATTTCATTGACCACTGTTTCAAAAAGAGGGCAGGGCCAGCTGAGCCTTTGGTCTGTTCAAGCCCAAGAGCATTGGAGAGCAAGAGAATGCCAAAGGTGGAAAGCTGTAAGGCAGACTGACTGGGCTTGCCTAGGGAAGAGAGCATGGAAGCTCCCTTCCTTGCATATGTGGAAGGGCCTTGCCACTCCCAGTGTTGTCTCATCCCTCTTATCTTTCAGGGACGAGGAGAACTTTTGTGCCACGGTGCCCAAGGATGGGCGATCGTATTCCCCAACTCTTTTTGCTCAGACAGTCAGAGTCCTGAAGAAGATTAACAAGCCTGGCAACATGATTGTGGCATTTAGCAACCTGGCAGAGAGGATCAAGGTGAGGGGTGGTGGAGGGGAGCTGGCGCTAGCTTCCTCCCTGCTTTCCACAAAGGAACCCTCCTTTTTGGAGAGCTGCCTGTTGGTGCCTCATCCTCTGCTGTTGGCATTTTGAGCCGGGCAGCTTGTGTATGCTCTTGCGGGAAGGAGGCTTTCTCTACCTAGTAGCATTTGCAAGGAGCAGACCCTCTGTGCTATGGGCTTTCACTAAGTCCCTCCATGAAAGGTAAGGCAAGGGAACGAAACTAAGTGTAGTGGGAGTATTAGCCCCTTCCATAAGCCAGAATTACATTCCTTGCCGCTTCCTGGAGCTAAGCCTGGCCCAAGAATACAACTTTGCTCTCATTTGTTGCCCTTAAACTCTGAGCTGCTCTGAGCCCGGCCTTGGCTGGGGAGGGCGGGGTATAAATCTAAAATAATTATTATTATTATTATTATTATTATTATTATTATTATTATTAAACAAAGGTTGGCGGCAACTAGTCATCTGCTGAGCTTCTTGGGTGTGTTGGGGAGACGTTTCCTTCTGTCATCCAGCCCACCATTGACTTGAGCAGGCAGGGACCTCTCTAACAACTGTTGGGCTTTCTTCTAGTCCCTTGCAGACCGCCAACTGCAGGAAGAGGAGACCTATGCGGATGCCTGTGATGAGTTTCTGGACCCTATCATGAGTACTTTAATGATGGACCCGGTGCTGCTGCCTTCCTCTCGGGTCACCGTAGATAGATCGACAATTGCCAGGCACCTCCTGAGGTATTCACAAGGCTGGGAAGGGGTCAGGGTCAAGGCTGAACAACTGATTGCTTATCTCGTCTAGGAAAACATTAGGTGGCTTTAGCTCCAAGCACCTCCCCCTGTCCAGAGTCATGTGGTGTTAAGGTAGCCCAATTTATCCCTGGGTCTGCCTCACTTAGCTCTACTGTTCCAGGCATACCCAATTTTCTAAAATAAGCAAATTCCTATCACTACAAAAGGCTGCCTCACAGCAATGGTTGCACATTGGGGGGGTCTGTCAGAGCACCATATTGGGCTTCCACAACTGTGGCCAAATAAAAGGCAGACTTGGTCTGCCAGATGACTTCCTCCTTGATTTGATATCCATCTGGTGGGGTGGCGGTGGGCCTGTGTGTCCATCTCCAAAGGTTGGTGGCACTGCCTCCTGCCCACATATCTGTCTCTCCTTTACCTGCTTCCTGGTGTTTTTTTCCCCTTGTAGTGACCAGACTGACCCTTTCAACCGGAGCCCCCTCACCATGGACCAGATCAGACCAAATACTGAACTCAAGGAGCGGATCCAGCAGTGGCTCGCAGAGCGGAAGAAAGAAAAGGAGCAGTTGGAAGGGACTCTGTGACCTGGATTGTGGCCCTGGCTGGGCTTCCGCAACCCCCAGGACCTTTAAGCTGCCTGCTCCTTCCCTCTTTTGCGCTACCACTGCGGAGTTGTGGGGGGAGAAGTGTGGGGGTTCTATGGGCCTGTTTTTGGTTTTGGGTTTTTTGCCGTTAGGACTTTTGTCAGGAATCTTTAGCTGCTCCCTGCCTTTTTGGTTCACCTGCTGTCCGGTTTCCACAGCAACTGCCCTTCCCGGTATCCCTGCCCAGATAGGTTTCCCTTCTGTTACAGCAGCAGTTCTCGTGCCAGAAACTTTTTTTCTGTTTTAATGTGAAGGCAAAAGCTGCACTCTCCCCATTGGACAGACCTTTCTTTATGCAATCCTGACACTATTGGTGGAGATCTGCAACTCACTTTGGTCCACACAGGGGGACTATTATCCGCCAACAGCCTTTGGGTAGAGGAAGCTGATGCCAAGAGGCTGGGTGAATGTTTGCTGTAGCATTTGCCCCCTCCCCGAGCTTGACATATCATACTGTGGTGATGAGCCCCCGTTGTTGCTTTTGCTGGCAATGACTTAAGTCTTCTGGGCTGGTGGGCCTGCGCCCAAAGCACTGTGTACATGTTCATGCAGGTGCCCTATAAATCCTGCCTGCATTTATACTGTGCCTGTTGCATGTCAATATGTATGCAGTGTGTATATAGTATGACATTCACTTTAGACCAATAAAAGTGTCAGGTGTCCATGTTTCTTTGGTGTTGTATGCCTGTAGCCTTCTACCCTCAACCACTTCCTCTCTACCAGGGTAGCTGCTGCAACCTTATTGGAGTTGGTGTGCTCAACATGCCCCTTGGCTGCTCTTTGTTTTCAGTATTTCCATTTCAAAGCAAGTATGTATTTTTTGTTTTAAATATTCTACCCTGCTCCATTTAAATGAGGTAGAACATATACTTGATCAGCTCTCCAGAAGTAGACACTTTTCGCATATTCTTGTTGGCTTTCCTCCCCTCCAGCCTGGTGTAGAAAACCCTAAGCCTATAGAAGACTCCTCCACAATCATTCCACAGGGCCTAAACACATTTAAATCTTCCCGGAGGAGATCCTGCACTTTGAGCTGGTCCTGTGTAAGGAGATAAATAGCAATGATGAAACTGCTTTCTTGAGGTCCTTGGGCTTCCTAATCTTTCTTTTCAGGGTTGCACGACTTGTTTCCCAATATCAGTGGTGCACCATAAGTGCTTCTTCTCGCCCCCTTTCACAGTGTGTGATATCCAGATACCCACAAAGCAGGCAACATGCTTGTCACAGGCCCATCTTTTTATGCCCTGTGACACTTTCTTCCTCCTATCCATAGCTTCCACAACCACCTCCCCTTCCTTCCACAACTTGCCTGTATTCAGGGTTGCATTGGCTTGGAGAAATTTAATTAATTGGATAGGGCTCCATGACAGGGTCTGTCTAAATGTGTCCCACAGTATCTCCCCCTACCTGAATTTGAAGAAGCAGGTATCGGGGGGCGGGGGTGAAAAGCATGCTGCTACTGCCACTACATTGAAGTGGGGCACTGTGGGTGGTTTGTCTAGGATACAGTTTCCCAAATTTGGGTCTCTAGCTGTTGGACTACAGCTCCCATCATCCCTAGCTGGCAAGACAATGGAATGATGGGAATTGTAGTCCAAAGACACCTGGAGACCCAAGTTTGGGAAACCTTGGCCTAGGGGGTGTTCCCCCGGTGATGGATGGGGCTGTACTCTGCTGTGAAAGCTCAGATTTAGAAATGTCAGAAGCTGCCTTAAATAAAGTCAGATTTATTATAATGTCTGGTTTATAAAGTCCACTTAGCTCAGAGTTGTCTACATTGGTGGCAACTTTCCATGGTTTGAGCCAGGGATCTAAGACTTTCCTGGCACTGAATTTGGGGCCTTCTGCATGCAAAAAGTGCTTTTGGATCAGGCTTTATCTGTACAGGCTTAAGTGACTATGGTGGTTTCAAAACCAGCTGTTATTTAACTGTAACGCCCCCAACGCATCACCTGCATGCAAATATCTATGCATTTGGAACGTGTGTTATGACGGCTGCCTTCTAAGGGTGCCCTCATGGCCTGCCACGGGCTCTTTTTTCTTTTTCGGCTTTCCCCCCAGGCTGCGGACCAAAAGAAAAAAGCCCGCTGCTCCCTCTCCGGGGAAGCCAGCCTGGGGCCGCGTTCCGCTTCTGCGCGTGCGCTTCGCTGGAAGCGGCTCCTTGCCTTATTTCACGGACTTCGTTCACCCTCCTTCCGTCAGCGCCTGCGAAGGGCGCACGCGCACAAGCATTCTCCCCACCCCCGTAGACAGTTGTCTTCGATAAACGCCTGCTGGAAAGAAAAGAGGAAAAAATATTTTAAAAATCGCGGGTAAGGAAGCGAAGTCAGCAGCCACTGAGAAAGCCCGGCAGGCACGTCCGCCCGCCCGCCCGCCTCCTCCGGGCTAAGTGCGTGGGCGGCGCGAGCGAGACCGGCGCAGCTTGGGCAGCTGCGGCGGGGTCCTTACACTCCGCCTGGCTGTGACCTTCAGGGGGCTTCTTTCGAGCGGCTCCTGCTTGTCCGCTGTTCCTCCTCCTCATTCCTCTCCGGTCCTCCTCCGTCCGCCGCTCGCTCCCGGGATGGCGCAGGCTGCGCAGAAGCTGGTGACGGCCATCACCACCCAAGGGCCCAAGCTTGTTTCTGGTCAGTCAGGGGAGGGGCGCCGGCTCGGGCGAGTTTCCTTCAGGGGCAGCTGAAGAAGAAGCGCTTCTCTTTCGCCCGGCTGCCGCCGCTTTCCCGTCCGCGCTGGAAGAAGAAGAGCAGGCGGCGCCGTGCTTCCTGTTAGGGGGCGGGCGACGAGCCGTCGCCGCTCTTGGCAGGGGGCGGCCCTTCGCTTTGCCCGACTCCCTCTGCTCCTTCCCCAGCCTCGGTGCTGGGGGCGGCCGCTCCGAGAGCTGTGGGGCCGAAGGTCGGGCGGGGAAGGGGTTTCATTTGAGGCTTGCGTCGAGCCGGTAAATTGCCCCAAGGGAACCTGACGTCCTGCCCTGGCTTTTGCCAAAGGAACGAGTTTGCTGCTTAGTCACACTGTGGCTTTAAATCCCATCCCACAGTAATGCCGTGCAGGAAGTAATACTGGAGCTCATGGCAGAACATGTATAAAATTTAATCAAGCAGCCGTTCAATAAAACTGTTTGATGTGCATGCAGTGGGACTGACCTTCGCATGCCCAGAAGAATAAGGCGGTGTTCACCTAGCATCCAAAAAAATACCAGGATTGAGGGTGGGAGGTAGTCAGGATTATGAGGGGGCAGGACCTGTCATCCTCTGTCTGGCTCTGTTTAGCAGATTCGGGCTGAAATGTCTCAACAGTTGTTTTAAATTATTTTCTTTTGATCCCATTTGCTCAGATAAATCTGTCAAAATCTTTCTCCAATTTCTACTCTTAGTTTTTTTATTTATTGACTTGATTTAGGGGGGGCAAGCTGCTACCTCTGGCTACGCCCATGAACCATACCATGATGACACCTGGCAAACAATGCCATGCTGGGGAAGGGATTCTTATCAACATGGCAAAACTACAGAGATGATGCTTTTCTTAGTCACCATCACCTATGTGGGAGCTTTACTTATTGAATGGTATTCCAAACTGTTAAAGGCACTTACTATTGTTGCCAGTAGGGACCAGAATTGTACTGTTTTGCTTTACTTCAAATGCTTAAATTATTTTAAATGTACTTAAACACTCAAGTGTGTTCTGGCACTGATTATTTGGATTCTGCAGGTTTTGACCTACGTGTGCAAATAGTTACCTAGAGAGTTGGAAAAATTCCAAGTGCTGCTTTGCTCTGGTGCTTAAAAATATGCCAGTGCTGGGGATTTGGACTACTTTTCTAACCTTGGTTATTCACTCAAGAGTTCATATTAAATGGCCATTGTGTGCAGATTGAGAGCAGTGATCCCCCACTGGACGCAGGTGTTTAATGACGGTAGTTTTACCTGCTGTCAGGAAACTGCCACTTTTGGCACAGTGGGACATTAGTTTATGGTGATTTGTAGATGTCTGCTTTGCACACACCTGCTTTTGCTCTCATCTCATTCCACTCTTATCTCTTTCAGCTGCTATCACTTATTCAAAGCCTCGCCTGGCCACTTTTCTGTATTATGCTAAAGTTGAATTGGTTCCCCCAACTCCTGCTGAAATTCCTAAGGCCATTGATGGCATGAAAGGATTGGTGAAGAGCATGCAGACTGGCCGCATCAAACAGCTCACTGTCAAGGTAACTGCAAGCCAGAAGTGAAAGGTCATTACCCTAAGCTATAGCTGTTCATATCTATAATAGGTTATATCTGGCTGTATGTAAAAAGTGGATTCAGTCAATATTAAGCAAAAGACCAACTGAACACCTTGTTGGTGCTTTACCCTGATACAAACATTGTGATTTTTCTAAAACATTACAACTTGTAAATCATTAAAGTTTTTTTTAAAAAAAACTCCTGAGATTGTGGGCTGGGCCTCTGACCTCATCCTGTCTGGTTGCTTCTTTGTCCAGAACGGTGATGCCTGCAACAGTCAGTCATAGTCTCAAAGTTGTTTGTAAACTGGCATGCAGTTGCATTTTCATTCTTTGATCGTAGGTGATGTAACTTGCAAAGCTTTACTTGGTTCATAGGAGCTCCTATTCCTGAGGCTGGAATCTTGGATGAATTTGGGGGCCACAAGCTGAAATGCTAAAATATCTGTTCCTTCTTTCTCAATCCTGTGGAGGAAGCATGGGCGCAGATATTTTCTAGGAACTAGAGTGTGCCGTGTAATGCACCCTATCATAGATTATAAGGAAGCCTCTGGAATGGGGTTTGTGTTTGGAGGGAGGATTTGCTAAAGTGGCAAAAGTTGTGAAATATTTCTCTTTTCTTTCAGGAAGTGCTGAGGAACGGCTTGGTGGCTACTGAAGTGCTAATGTGGTTTTACATCGGTGAAATCATAGGCAAACGTGGCCTGATTGGCTATGATGTTTGAAAGTTTTTGGTTTCTACTCCTAACAGTGTCGTCGTATTAAATTACAGTGCTGAGATGAAATTGTGGTGGTCTCTACAAATAACATTCAGATTGGGGCAGAATCAGATGATGGTGACATGAATGCAGACAAGGATCCCTAAAATACTCCTACTCTTCCTCCTCCTGTTGGGGGATAGGGTGGGCACCAGTGGTTGGCTGTTCAAATAAACGCTATACAAAGAATGACTCAGAAGTGAATGGGAGTATGTCTTGATTGTTGCCCTGTATTTTGAAGTGCCTTTATACTGTCCTGATGCTAGAATTTGTAGAAATACCAGGCTCTTGAGGCAGTTTACCCAAATACTGTAACCTTGGCCTCTCCTGGATCCTTTTTCAGTCTAAAATTGCAGGTAGGTGGGATGATTTCCTCTGAAGCTCTACTGTTTGGGCACCCTACAACAATATAAGTTTCCTAGCAAAAACCCATTCCTCACTTTTTTCATATGGTTTTTTAAATACCAAGTAGAATATGACTTAAAATAGCATATCCTTAAAGTACTGGGTGAAAATACTGTTTGGGCATTAATTACTCCTCCCAGAAAGCTTAAAAGAATATGAAGGAGGCAAACTTAACTGGGTTGCATCCAGCCAGGTGTTCAGTGGCAAGGCAACCACTGAGAAAAGCCCTGCTCAGGCACCACTTCTAGTACTTGCCTTCTGAAATATTAGTTGCTTCCTAAGATGGAGTGGAGGGACACGGGTGGCGCTGTGGGTAAAAGCCTCAGCGCCTAGGGCTTGCTGATCGAAAGGTCAGCGGTTCGAATCCCCGCAGCGGGGTGCGCTCCCGCTGCTCGGTCCCAGCGCCTGCCAACCTAGCAGTTCGAAAGCACCCCCGGGTGCAAGTAGATAAATAGGGACCGCTTACTAGCGGGAAGGTAAACGGCGTTTTCGTGTGCGGCTCTGGCTTGCCAGAGCAGCGATGTCACGCTGGCCACGTGACCCGGAAGTGTCTCCGGACAGCGCTGGCCCCCGGCCTCTTGAGTGAGATGGGCGCACAACCCTAGAGTCTGTCAAGACTGGCCCGTACGGGCAGGGGTACCTTTACCTTTTAAGATGGAGTGGAGTCACTAATAGCAAGGGGGGAATTGTGAAACAAAGGTTGATTTGTGTATCCATGTTAAATAGCCTTTGATCAACTAATGCTTCAATAATGTTTTGGTTGCCTAGCAGTGAGTGAGCATTACACTGGCCTTAGCTCTGTGCTAGGGTCTGCGTGACACCATTGACATGTTTATAAATGCAGCACATTAGTGCTGCCAGCTGTGGAAGTGGTTTCACGACTTAAAAAAACAGCCACCAAACCTATCATGCTAATTCCTTGAAAACCAATGTGACTGGGCTGTTGGAAGGATAACTTTACTCAACCTGCCTTGCTTTAAATATAACCTCATTATTGCATGACTTTGTATTTAACTTTGTGTGGAAGTGCAGCAAACTATGGCTTTCCTTACTCTGGCAGGTCTGCTGGAGTACAGACCTTACAGGGAGAAACATAGTGTGATGGATGAAGCTTGGTTGTTAATGAGCATGAGGTTTTAGCAGGCGTTTCTTTTTATGTGCTGTTGTACTGCAGCTTGCTCCTAAAAACAGTAGACCAGAATTCCAAATGAATATTTAATCCTTTTCCTAGTCAGGAGCACCTGAAGGCAAGTATGGCCACAGTCCTTCCAGTCTCCTGTGTTGCAAAGAGGAGTGGAACATATTTGTCCATCAGCATTGCTAAACTGGGTAGAATGCCAAAAATACACATCTTGATCAAAGTGTCCTGGTCTATATGGTAGTGGGACCCAGGAGGCGATTTCTCACTATACTGTCTGTATAAGATGTCTCTCCCTGGCAGAGAAAGTCCTATGGCTTCTTAGCGATGTAAATGCTTCACTGACCCTTTTTGCTTTGGCTGCCAAAAAGATCAGAAAGAAGACCCTGGACAACATAGCGAACTGTAAGGGAAACACAGAGATCCAAATAAGAGACAATTATTTGTAGCTCGACACCCCTTTTGTTTGCATTTATTTTTGATGCAGATTTGTCATGGCCAGGGGCTAGTACAATAAAGTTATTTGGATCAGATATATGGTAGTGCCCCTTAACAAGGCATCCTCAGTAAAGTTAGTGTGGGTTTTGAGCCTTGAAATTTAGTGTCTTTTATAGATTGAAAACTCCTAAGAAACGTCGTCTTCCCTTTAGTCATTTCCTGACTATTAATACATTAGCAATGTCCAGCTATATAAAGATGTGGATCTGTGCCAAAGGAATGCCTCGGTTTTTAGAGAAAGATGAGCCTTAGTTGCACAGTCTGATAGCAGACCAGGTGGCACAATGTGCTGCTTAATTATGCCAAATATGGGTTGTACCCATAGAGGTGGCAATCCTAGTTTTTAACGTCATTCTGCAGTTTGTGAGGAGGCTGTCAGAGTTAGCACTTGGGGCCTATGATCCAGGAAAAAGCAAGGGAATCCACCCCTTTCTGGTGAGTGCAGTCTGTAAGGATGTATATTCAGAGGTGCATGACTGGAGTGGTGGCGGCTCCCTTCCTTGCCCTTATTTGGAACTACAGCACTCCACTTTCTAGGACTCCAAAGTTTTAAAACAGAGGTGGGTAAGAATATTAATGTTTATAATGGAGTTGCTGTAGAATAACCCACCAGTTTGCTTGACAGCAAGGAATGCTCTCTGCTAGGGCCCAGGAATCTGAATGTGCACCGCACCACAAACTAAGTACTGACACAGCTTTACAAAGACTTGGGTCTCTGGTGCAGAGGCTTTCCAATCTCCCTCTCCTCCCCCCTCCCCCACCTGTTTCCAGCTGAGAAATCACAGTATTGTTTCAGTGTAGTTGCTTAGCATCCCAGCAGGCAATGCCTACACGGAACTTAATTGTGACTTGCTGGTGAGAGACCCCAGGATTGAGAGACCACAGAAGGGGACCGGAAGCAGCAACAACAGCACGGTAACACCGATTTCTGCAGCTCAGATTGTATTTAGCGGTGGCAACCTCCCTGGTGGGCTTTGCTACATATCTGCTGTCTGCCACTAGAGAAGTCCATGGCAGAGAATAGAGTTTGTATTACCTTGGCCTGGTCAATAATGCTGTTGTTTGTGTGGTCCAACAGCAAAATCGAGTCTTGTTTTTGTTATGCTTGGATAATAACATCTATCTAGGGGTTGGACTACATGACCTGCTGGTCCGTTATTATTTGCCCTGTGTTCCCCTTAACCAGTTCTGTTAAGTGCAGGTGGGGAATTGCCCAGCACCCCAAAGTTTTCATGGTTACAAAGGGGGGTGTTGGATTTTCATGGATGAGCAGGCCCAGCCTTCAGCAATTGTGAAAGCAATATATGGACACCCAAACAGCACATTCAGTCCAAGGGAATCCATTTAGGCGAGTCCTTGGCTTAGCCTATCCCAGCCTCCCCAGCTACAGAAATTTAAGAGTGAGTCACACCATCAGTCCAGCTAGGCCTATGCTGCTTAGTCTGCCAGGCTGTGGCTGTCTTTAAAGAAAGGCCAATATGGAAAGTGTGGCCATTGAGGGCTTCGTCTGGTAACCACAAAGCCGAATACAGTGGTGCCTCGCAAGACGAAATTAATTCGTTCCGCGAGTTTTGTTGTCTTGCGATTTTTTTCATCTTGCAAACCACGGTGTCGGGAAAGTTTTGGAAAAGCTTCAAAAATCACCAAAGTCTTTAAAAACCTCAAAAAAGGCTACCACACCGTGTTCTATGAGTTGCTCCTCGAAGTCAAGTCGCAACTGTATTAACGGTGTTAAGAAAAAGGAAACAAACTTGCAAGACGTTTCCGTCTTGCGAAGCAAGCCCATAGGGAAAATCGTCTTGCGAAGCAGCTCAAAAAACAAAAAACCCCTTTCGTCTTGCGAGTTTTTTGTCTTGCGAGGCATTCGTCTTGCGAGGTACCACTGTACCCACCACCTTTGTTATAAGGCGTTGAGGGTGGCTTCCTTTTAATCCCAGAATGGGTACATTAAGCTGAAGCAGGAAGTTGGACAAGTGATGCTATTTCCCACTTAGCTCCTGCACAGCATACGGGTAAAAGTAAAGGGACCCCTGACCATTAGGTCCAGTCGTGGCTGACTCTGGGGTTGCGGCGCTCATCTCGCTTTATTGGCCAAGGGAGCCAGCGTACAGCTTCCATGTCATGTGGCCAGCATGACTAAGCCGCTTCTGGCGAACCAGAGCAGCACACAGAAATGCCGTTTATCTTCCCGCCGGAGCGGTACCTATTTATCTACTTGCACTTTGATGTGCTTTCGAACTGCTAGGTTGGCAGGAGCAGGGACCGAGCAACGGGAGCTCACCCCGTTGCGGGGATTTGAACCAGATACGTCTGCCAAATTTGGGTTTCATCAGCAAAGCTGGTGTGAAGCTTTCCTTGCCCCCCCCCCATGGAGGCAGAGGGGCAATTCGCCCTGGTGCCAGGTGAAGAGAAGGGAGGGCAAGAGAGCAGCCTTACTAGAGGCGGAGAAGCGGAGACTTCCAGTTGCCAAGCGAAGCTGGCCTTGCACCCTTAGAAAGAAGAAAGGCCTCGCAGGGTGCGCCACCAGGATGCTCTTTTCTCTAAGCGCCTTTTTTCGCTGTTTTGCCGCCAGGCTAAGTTTTGGCACGTGAGCGAGGCCACACCCGCGCCTGCTCTTGATCTGGGGCGGCCGCCTTGCAGCGCCTCCAGCCGCGCTGCACCTGCTGCCCTTGTCCCGTTGCAGGAGGCTGCCGCGGGCGGGCATCCTCGCAAGGGCGGCCGTAGGAGCAGCTGCTCCTGCCGCCGCCGTTTGCTGCGGTCCCCGCCAGTGGCCACTGGGCGGACCAGGCGGCCGCAGTGAAGCTGAAGGCCCGCCCCAGCCGGGGGCCCCGCGCCGAGCATGCCGCCCAAAGTTATGCCGCGCAGGCCGGCCGGGCTTTTGAGGTGTCCCGCTTCCCGGGCGGGGGCCCCGGCCCCTGTATAGGCTCCGCTGTTATGCCGCGGCTGCTGCGGCGAGCCATGGCTCAGGCGAGGCGCGGGGCGGCGCTCTGGCGGGGCCCGGGAACCTGGATGGGAGCCGCGTGTCTGCAGCGCCCCTAGGGGCGGGTTGTGCGCCAGGCAGGTTCCCGGGCGCGGCCCGGCCCCGCTCTCTGGCTCGTCGCCTCACAGTAAAGATGGCGCACAGCGGTCGGTGGCGCTTCCCGGCCCGGCCCGGCAGCTGTGGCTGGGGCCGCCGCGGGCTCGGGGGCTGCCGCGTGCGGGTGCCGGCCGTGCGCAGCCTGCGCGGGGAGCCGCCCGAGGAGCGCCCGGCTGGCGGCGGAGGAGCGGCCGCGCCGGCGGGAAACAGCGGTGGAGGGGGCGGGGCGGGCGGCTCTTCCTCGGCCTCCGCCGCCGCCGCCCTCGGCCCGCCGCCTCCTCCGGCTCCACCCGCTGCTGCTCCCGGCTCGGGCGCCGCCGCCGCCGCTGCCTCCTCGGTAGCGGCGACGGCGGCCAGTGCCGGGGTGGCGCCGGGCTTCGACGCGGCGCTCCAGGTCTCGGCCACCATCGGCATCAACCTGCGCCGGTTCCGGGCGGCCTGCGGTGCTGAGGCGGGCAGTGGAGAGGTGAGGAGCAGGCGGCCGGGCGCGCGGGGGAGGGAAGGGGAGGGAGCGGGATGTGTGCGGCGGGGGGCGCGCGGGGGAGGCTTCCCTAGCACGCGCGCTCGCTCGCTCGCGTGTGTGGCGGGGGAAGAGAGAAGCGCGCGCGCACGCGGGGCGGCATTGAGATGGGGGGCGTGCCTGCGCTCGCGCCCGGCGGGAAACGAGCCGCCTCGGGATGGATGGAGCGGGAGAAGGCGGAGGCTTTCTTTAACACCCCCCCCCCCTCTACAACCAACACCTCCCGGAGGGGATCCGCCCACCTCGTGCCCGCCTCGCAACCAGCAGCCTGGGCCGTCGCGGGAGACTTGACAGGCACGCCCACCTCGCCTCCCCGGGAGGAGATGCTGCTGCTGCGCGCGAAGAACGGCGGGGCGGGAGAAGCAGCGAGCGAGCGAGGACGCCAGCGCCACCCTCTCCCTTCTCTCTCTCCTTGGAAGCATCCGCGCTTCTCGCCGGGGAGGGAGCGGGAGCGGCAAGGCCCGCTCGCACCTGCATTTCTGCCCGCTGGGAGGGGAAGAGCAGCTCTCCGCCCCCTCCTCCCGACTATCAAAGCCGCGGGGCCACGATCCTGCCTGCCTCCGCACTCCTCCTGCAGGGAAGCCATCTCCCCTCAGTTGCAATGCACTTTGTGTAGGGATGTGTCCTTGCCAGGCGCTCTTCTATCCGCTTGCCGGCCTCCCTGCAAGCAAGGGTGTCTAAGGTGGTCAGGCATCACTGGTTAAGAGAGCATATTTATCCTGGAGAAGAAGAGACTGACAGGAGATATGATAGCCATCTTCAAATACCAAAAGACCTGTTCGGAGGCTAGGACCTGAATCAATGGCTTCAAGTTACAGTAAAGGATATTCCAACTAAACATCAGGAATAACTTTCTGACAGTAGAACAGTCTCCCTCAGGAGGCGGTGGACTCTCCTTCCACATAGGTTTTTAAGCAGAAGTTGAATGGCCACCTGTTATGTATGATATGGTTGAAATTCCTGCATTGCAGGAGGTTTGACTAGATGATCCTCAGGAATCTCTTTCAACTCTACAATTATATGATTCTATGGTTTTCTCTTTCTTCTGTTCAGTACTTTCCCTACCTTCCTATATTCCTGCAAAGCAGGGATGTTCAATCTGTTGGCCTTTCAGATATTGGAATACAATACCATGGGGTATTTCTATTGCTTAGGTTGGGAGGCTGGCTAAGTTGCTTGCTTTGCAGCAGTGTTCCCCAATCTGATAGCCTCTAGAGCTTTTTGGACTACAACTCCTATCAGCCCCAGCCTGTATGGTTGTGCATGGTTGCAGTCCAAAACATCTGGAAGGCTCCAAAGTGAAGAAGGTTGTTATACAGTTGTTCCCCAAAATGATTCCATATGGGAATGGCCTTAGATGCTCAGTGGTAGAGCATCTAGCTTGTATGCCCAAGGTCCCTGGTTCAAGCCCCAGTGGCATTGGTAGGTAGGACTGGGAATGTTGCATGCCTGAAACCATGGAGAGCTCCTGCTATTCATTGTAGAGAATACTGAGCTAGATGGATTAAGTGGTCTGACAATATAAGGCCGCTTCCTATGTTTGTTTGTTTAGTTTAGTTTATTGAATTTCTGTTTTGCCTTTCTTCCAAAGATAACAGAGTGGTTTACAATATAAAATCACACACTCTCTCTATATATAATATTTCATAACATATATTATATATAACATAATACCAAACAAAAACAATAACCCCTCCAGTTTAAAAGTTTAAAAGGCCACAGTTTAAAAGGCCATAGATTGTTTGATTAGTCAAAGGCTGTAAACAGTTATGCAGCACTTATTTATGATTTTACTCTGGTTGATACAACCTGCTGCTTACCTTCTCCTTCCTAATGACAAGGCACCTGCCTCTGCTCCTCTTTGAATGAGCCTCTTGAGCAGTTTGAGGTAAGCCCTAGACAGTGCTAGGTGCCATCTCCCTCATGAATTTAGCAGTTGGATGCAATAATTTTATGTAAACAGGTTTTAAATCAGGTCTTTTTCAGATTTATTTACATGTGAAAATGTGTGCATGGAATTGCTGTAACTAAGCAAAGATTAATAAACCACAAGGCTGAGAACTGACTTTACCCAGTCTCAAAGAAGCTCAAGAGAAATGGGTATGGGGCTCATTTTAGTATCACTTCATTTCTTAAAAATAGCTTATAAATGAGAAAGATTAGCTTCCAGGCCCAGACAATTGAACTTGGGTTTTTCATACATCTAGTCCCAACCACTTTATTGAGTATATTATTCTTTCTTTTCTAAAGGAGTCCTTCAAATAAGCAGCTCTTTCAGTCATTACTCTTTTCTGGGAAAGTGGGGTTTTCAAGTGAAAACATTGTTAAAACAGCTGTGTTGCTATTAGGATAGCTGGAATAACCTATCTGAGACATATTAGGGCAGTTACATATTTTAAGAAAAAAACTTTCCATTTTACATTTTTAAAATAAACTTTGGACATATGCTCAGTAAAGTGGTCCTATTCAGAGACAGAATATATCTGATTTATCTGATTTAACCAAATTGTGTAGATGTAGTAATTTTAAAAAATATGTGGACCTCTACTCATGTAAAATATGGAGCCCTAGTTATTTACAGATGAATCAGTACATATCAGTGCAGTGACACAAACCTGATAAGGAACCTTTATTGCAAATATGTCCCTTATTATCTTAGATCTTCCAGTTTAGATTTGTTTTATTCAGGTAGGACTTGGAGAAACTTAGACTGAAGTTGCCACTGGGATGCTTGATGTTGTCGCAACTTTTCTAAGAGGAAAATTAATTGCATGCAAAATGATTTGAATGACGGGGGCATGTCCCACTAATTTCAAATTATTTGATATTGATATCAGTATGCCACACCTTCCTTGGTGACAGAGATTTTGATGGTCTTGCATTTTTTGTTGTGGCAGAGCCTATTTCCTTTCTGAGGCCTTTCAGTGATGTAGCAGAGAATTGGCCACTTAAGTGCTCTGAGCAGCAGAGCAGCTTCAGTTCTCTTTCAGCAACAGATGTTATGACCCACATCTGTTTATTCCCCCCCCCCATAATTAAAACTTAAGTTTAAGAATGCTGAACTTGTTTCATACAACTTTAATGATGAAAAAAATAATTTTTGCTATTTCATCTGGGTTTTAAGTATTTGAGAAAGAAGCTTAGCATGTAAATGACATCTTAATTGCCTTTCTGGTACCCATCAGAGGTCTTTTAATGCTACTTTCTTTTTAGGCTATTCCATTGGGAATCTTATTAATTTTTTTGCAGCTGTTATGTTTTTCTTTTTTATTATCCTTATATGCTGTAATTCCCCCTTCAAAGTTCAACTGAAGGACAGGATATCAAACAAACAAGTAACCTAAAACAGTGATGTCACTATTGCACTGTAACAGTGAATGGATCATAATTTTTTAGGAGGCAAGCTAAAGAACTTTATTGAAATCTTTGCAGGAAGGGATGGTCAGAACTGTGTTTGAATATATTTTTCTTTCATAATTTTGAAATTTTGCCACTCAGAATTGTACATTTTACACTGATGGCATAGCAACGTTGTTGCTTGGTATGTTGTACTTCTGGTCAGCTGGTAGTATAATGTTCTCAGCTGGCGTCAGCTCTGGGTTTAGGGTGCTGCAGCCAGTTCCCTATCTTAGAGTGCCAAGCCAACGGATTGCAAAATAGTAATAATATTGAGAAGATCCATTAAAAAGCAACTGTTCTAAAAGGAATTTTTGTGAAAATAAGAAATACTTGGGGGGGGGGTTGTCCCTGCTCAGGGCACTATATTACCAAAGTCCACCTGACAGCATCCTGCATAATTAAACCTCAAGAGCTAAACTGCTGGATGTGTTCTTGGCTCCTGTTAGTAAAACATCAGCCCCCAGTCTTCCCTGGAACCTTGAAGCTTGCTGTGTACAAAACACCTTCTCCGGCTCTGCAGACTTTGTTTCCAAAGAAGATCTTGGCACTTGGGGAACAGGGGAATATGTGACTGCCAAGTCAGTCTTTATCACTTGGGCTTATATTGACTTATGCAAAAACAGTGCTTTATGGCAGACAAATGAAAGGTGCTACCTCTGTCCAATAGGACTTTGCTGGAGTTAAATTAATAGAGCACCTTTGAAGAAAGAGGTATTTATTTATTTGTAAAACTTAGGAGTTGCTCAAAATAAAAACATCCAACATGAAGAGCATATTGTCTTATCTTAAACAGCATTACTGGAGACTAAGAAATCCAAAAGACTGTCCCCCCCCCTCCTCCCAAAATAATTTCTCAAGGACATAATGGGTAGGGGCTCCCATTCTGTGCTCCTGCTACATGAGATTCTTCTGGGAAAGAGTTAAACTCGGCACATTAAACTCAGTGCTGGTTTAATATAGTTATGTTTCTATGCCTAGTCAGTAGCACAACAACAATCAGTGGCACAACAACAACTGTGCAAACAAAAACAAAAAATGTAATGACACTGACAGAACTCCCAGAGTATCCGTAAAAGCTCTGGTGCCGTCCATCAATTGGTGATGAGATCCCCTCATTAGCAATGCACACAATGCACCAATCAACTTACAGGAACCAGCAGAAGCACTCTTTCCACCCCATAGTCATATTCTAGTTCCCAGAAATAGAGCACCTCCTCCAGTAAAGGCATCCCAGTGCTCAGCAATCAGAGGCTTCCCAGGAGTAAGGTTAAGTCTTGCTATGGGGCCAGCAATACTACACAGGCAACACAAGTAATGCTGCACAAGATATGTTTGTATTGTGAGGTGAGGGGGTGTTTTTGGCAAAGAAGAGCCATGCAGACAAACAAGAATGGAAGCTATATCAGCAAGCTTACAGGAGGCCACCCTTTGAGCTGCCCAGGAGCAATGGGTTTGTGACCTCCACAATGGGGGAAGCTCCCCTTTGTGAGCAGCAGTAACTTTAGATGTGGAAAAGGGTGAGGTAGCAGGACTAGGGCTGGGGCTTC